AACGTGAACACGTGCCGTCTACATATTTTCAGCAGGTCACACGCAGCATACATAGATTTCAGAGGTGGAACGATGATTGGTGGAAGTACACTATTGAAACCGAACTCCGGAAAGCATGGGCACCTTGGCCGCGTTTTCTCTTTCGGGCGCGGCAGGAGGGTCATCGGCCAGAGAAGTGCACGACGGCATGTGGCTACGGGACACCAAGGCAGTTGAGGCTCTCCTCGCCACCCCGCCCTCCGACGCCCACCCCATCGGTTTGATCGGAGAGAGCCCGCCGGCCGCGCTAGATGACCTTCGGTTCATGGGGGGAGGATCTGGACACAACGGCGCCGTCTATGCAAGTCCCGCCTGGCGCTGGCCCGTGGAATTCACCATGATGGGTCTCAGCCCCCAGGTCCTTGCGAAACCAGGCACCCCACGACTTGGCGTCGAACATGCTGATGCTGAGTGCACCCTCCTCCTGATGCCCACGGACTGGGCTGGCCTGGAATAGGATAGCGCCCGAATCGAGATGCGACCCCCCGGCAAGAGGAAGCTGGGCGCCATCTCCAACGACGTGGCTGCCGAGGGCCCCGCGGTCCTGATCTCGTTGCTTGCGCTCGTTCGATGGATCTCCGAGACGAGCCGCGACGAGCCGCGGGGCCTTCGTGCCCAAGAACCCCGAGCGACCCGCAGGCGGCCCCGTGAGAGACATCACTTCTTGTCCGAGAACGATCCATTGTTTCTGCCCGCGGTGGCGCTTCTATCTAAGAATCGGTTTGAAGGCGCGCGGCTCGGAGCCCCCCCCGATTGGGCGCGCGGCGGAGCTCGGAGACGTCGTCGGGGTGTCCCCGTGCCCATTGTGAAAGCTATCGAGTGGAAACTCCGACGCCAATTCCTCGCCTGCATGATCACGTCCTATGGTGTGCGTAATGCGTTCGGTACTGACCCTACCTGGCGATTCCTCGATGCGCGGGTTGCCCGCCAACCCTCGAGGCATTTCGCGCGCGTGCTGGAGTTGCGGCGCACGGGGGCGGCGATCCGCATCGACGCTGCGGACGCGCCCATCTGCGCTCGGCTTATGGAGGGAGGGGGGGGGGGGAATTCCAACGAGCCAGAGCTGTTCATGGGGGCCTTATCATTCACCAGTCGAACGCGGCGCGAAACGCTCGCCGACATTACGGGCACCCCGTTAGATCCGGTCTGCCACATTAGTGACGCCGTCCAGGGCCGGGTCCACGGGGGGGGTCATCGACCACTTGATCGAGGTTTCCATCGCGCCCGAGGCCCCTTTCCCAGCACGCCCCCCTCTTAGACGAGCTAGACAACGACATTCTTAACGCAGAGCTCTAGAATGGCACGCTCACAATGTAGATAAACAAGACTCGTTAGTACGTCTACGCCGCGCCCGGGACGCAGAAGACGCGGAGCTGGCCATCCATGGCGCGCCCGAAGTTAACGTGACCCAGTTCGGAGGAGATATAGCAACGCAGCAGACATCGCCGAACGAATGCGGTCTGGGAATGCTGGTTGGTGTAATCTCTGTTAGTTGTGGACCGCTCCTGGCCCCCCCCGCTGCAAAAGAATGGCCTTCATCCCCAACGTTGCGGGGGGGGGCGGAGGGGGGGGGGGGGGCGCGGTCGGGCTTGGAGCCCCATGCCCCATTGGGGAGTGAGCCTAGGTGCTCGGAAAGGTCGTTGGCGAAGCAGACGTGCGCTCTCCTCCTGGGGAAGGCCCGCGAGGCGTCGGCCGACGAAGTCCACGCGTCTCTCGCGAATGGGCAGGCATTCGAGGAATTGGACATCGCCCCCGCTGCCGTCAAATTGTTTATCCGACGACCCTGCTGGTAGCAGTCCACTGTTGCCAAACCCGACCACCGCGCCCACTTTCTCTCGGCCATGTTCGGGCATTCAAATTCAAGGAGGCGGGCCCCGATTCCGATGCGGAGACGACCCTCGCCGAGTCAGGACTGCTCCGCGAAGATCTCGATTGTTTGTCATGACATCCCATGGCGCCCGATCCGCGCGACATCTGGGGCCCGATGGCCATCTCGAGACTGTTTCGCGACCCGGCGATCAGGGACCGGCCCCTGCAATGCGACGCGAGGGAGATGCGCGCCACCTTCGTCTCCAGGAAATGCCCCCCCCCGGAGCTTTGCTCATTGCCGAACACCTCCCCCTCCCCCCGGAACCTGGCCCATTGCCGAACACCTCCATCGGAAAGGATTCAGACGAGGAGGAAACGAGTTTCGTGAACTCGCTTGGGGGCAGCGCCGAGCGGTTCCGAAAACCTCCGCCGACTTGTAATCCGGCGGGTCCAATCGAACGCCATAAGGCATGGCTGGCGCCCGATCCTCGCGACCATCGCCGTTGACTCGTGCCTCATGCGCGATGCGACCTTCTCGAACGTAGACCACGCTGTGCGCCATCGCCGCAGATCGCGGCTCCAGGGGCGTCGCGTTCCTGATCAAGCCCGCCATTGACGCGAGTTCGCCCCGACCAGCCTGCGAGCATGCCCGCGCTCGAGTGCACCGACGAAACCGAAGTGCTGCGAGTCCTTCCAGGGCGCCGAGGCCCTGCGATTACATCATTGTGAATGCGTTCCTCCGTCGCCATGTGGCTCAAATTGAGTTCTGATCGTTGCGCCGACCGCGTCGACGCCGAGGTCGCGAGCGGCGCCCTTCGCTGCCCCCGCCGCGGCCGACCGCGGCCCCGCCGCCTTCGCGGGCGCTGCGGAAGCCAGGCGCGCACTTCGGCGCGCATCGCATCGTCTTCCACTACCTCGCGCTGCCCTTGCTGCCCGGCCAAGAGGAGCTCGACGCCGCCGACAGCCAGCGCTGCGTTGCCAGCAAGAAGTCGGCGCGCCCTCAGCCCCCCGCCCGTCACCCCCCTCCCGCGGCCGCCGCGCTGCAGTTGCCGGGGCAGGGGGCCACCTCGACACTTGCGCGGAGCGCAGGCGCCGCGGGGGGGGGGGGGGGGCAGCGGCGGCGGCGACGGGGGCCGAGGGGCCCCGGGGCGCGACAATGAAGGGAGGGCCCCCCCGTCGGGCAGCGCGGACTAGGGGGCCCGTCGCCCCCGTTGCCGAATGGCGGCAAGGGCGGCTCGCCCGACGCGCCGCCGCGCAAGAAGCCCGCCTTCGCAGCGCGGAGCTCGTCGGCGGCGGCGCCGGCGGGCCAGGGGGCCCCCGGCCCCTGGGGGGATCAGCACCTCAGCGCCGCCGGCGCGGAGGGCGACGCAATCGACGCGGGGCTCGCGCGGACGAGACGCGGGCCAGCAAAGACAAGAAGCTGCAGCCGATGCCCACCGCGATGGGCAAGCTCGCGCTGCAGTCGAGCCGCCGCGCCCGCCTCGCCCTCGCGACCGCGGCGGGCGCGGTGGGCGCGACGACCGCCCGCCCGCCGATCGCGGCCATCTCGGACGAGCTGGGGCCCTTCGAGTAGGGGCCCAGACAGGCCGCGAGGGCGACGAGGCGCAGCGGCTCGCGCTCAGGACTCTCCGGCCGCCGACTGCACCCCCCGTGCCGGCCGCAGTGGAGGCGCTCATCGCGCGCGACATCGGAGGCGCGCGCAAGAAGACCCTGAACGCCTGGATGGAGCGGGCCAACGGCTCGCCCGAAGACGGCAGCTCGATCAAGAGGACAGACATCGAGGGCGCGGTGGCACTCATCCGGCTCGAGACCAAGAGCGCCAATATCCTGTTCGCCATGAAAGATTGGGATCGGCGCCCCCGCATCCTCGCAGCGCTGCGCAACGAGGGGCCCGCCGCCGCCCGCGCCGGGGCGATGCCCGCGGGATGGCTCGAGGAGGAGCTCTCCGCGTGGATCGAGGCACCCAGGCAGTGGACGGCTCGCCGCTCGGGCACGATAGTAAGGCGCCCGCGCTGCCTCTGTCGCGCGGCCCTGCCGCGCGTGACATCCCCCTCCCAATTTGATTCGTTCGCTCGAAATCCCAGTGAATGATTTCGAGACTGATGAAAAAGCCGCAGCACTAGGACTTCATACCGATCTAGATCTATAGCCCCCCCCCCCCCCCCCCCGCGCAGCCAACTGCGCCGCTCGAGCGCCTGCCCGCGCGCGCGCCTTGCGAGCTGCAGGGGCATTGCTCCCTGTGCGACGGGATTGCCTCAGGAATGGTGGTGTAGCCATCATATTAATGTGTGGCAAACCTCCAGCCACGCATCCCGGCCAGAGTTTTCATCCCAGAGGACGCTATATATAGAGACAGTGGCCACCGTCTTCATCGCCATCCCCTTCGTCACTCGTATCATCATCACCACAACCATCACCATCATTCCCATTACCACTGCCAGCATTATCAGCAGCATCAGCATCATCTTCATAATTTGCATCGCGTGCACCATCATCATAATCATCAGCATCGTCGCCATAGTAATGTTAATCCCCTCCAGCATCGTCATCGGTATCGCGTTCGACGTCGTTTGCATCATCGTCGTCACCATCGTCGTCGCCACCATCCTCATCATTATCATCACCAGCAGCATTACCACAATAATCGTTATCACAGTCCACGCCGGCATCATTTTCCGCATCATCAGCATCACCATCATACTCATCGTTGTCGCCACCACCACCATAATCGTCATCATCCGCCACATCACCAGCAGCATCCTTATTCGCATCATCACCATCATCAACAGCACCATCATCAGCATCGTCAACACCGTCATAATCACCATAATCGTCGTCGTCATCGTCGTCGCCGTCCCCACCGTTTCGATCTCATCGACACCATCGCAACCATCATCATCACTTCCAACGTCGTCGTAATTTCTCAGCACCAACGTCATTGCCGTCGTCATCCTCATCACCATCACTATTCTCATGATTATCATCAGCATCGCCATCCCCATCATTTCCCTCATTCCTCCCCTGACTCCTCTTTTATTCCTCCCCCTCCCCCTCCTTCCCCTCACCCTTTTTCGCCTCCTCCTCGTGTGCCTCCTCCTCCTCGCCCTTTCCCTGCGCGCGGGGCTGCCGCCGCTTCGCGGGTGGGGGGACAGTCCCAGATCGTCGGGGACTTGCCCAGCAAGGGCCTCCCGCAGGGGACAGGCCCCGCCTCGCGACCGCTAGGGGGGAGGGAGGAGGCCCCGATTTGACAGTTCCGTCGCCCTGCGTTTGCAATCGTCATCGCAGATCGGTGCGGGTTCGGGGAAGGGGCCGTGATTTCTGGGGCAAATCAGTCAATCGGATGTCTGGGGGGAGGGGGACGAGGAGGAGTAGGAACATGAGGGGGAGAAGCAGGATGAGGGTCAGGATAAAGATGCAGAGAAGGAGAGCGAGGACAAAGATCAGGACAATGATCAGGATAGCGGTGATTAGCCAGGCCGAAGCGCCCAGTTCCACCCCCCCATGACACAAGAGTCGATGTTGGTACTTAGGCATCGGGACTGGAGCGCGTTGGGGAAGAGTCAATCGAGCCTGCTCGAACGAACCAGCCGCTTCCACCCATTCCGTCCCTCTCTCCGATGACATGCGGATCAATGGTAGCATGAGATTTGGACTGGAACCCGTTGGTGTGGGAGTGTCAGTGATTAGTGTGAGATTCTAGACGCTTCGCGTAACCCCACCAGCCCATCCAAAAATGATGCCCAGGCGAGGCGCCTTGGGGGCCTCTTGGAGCATCTTGGGTCCCTCGGGGATCCTCTTGAGGCTTCTTGGAGGCCTTTTGGGAGCCTCTTGGGGCCGTCTGGGCGCCTCTTGGGGCCGTCTTGGGGCGCTCGTGGGAACTTGAGGGGCGCTCGTGGGTACAGTTTGGGGGACATCGAACAGCCCAAAAACCCGGAAAGGAATCTAGAAACCTAAGGCTTGGTAGCGTTTTCAAGACATGTGGTTGGGCGACGGGCAATTGCAATGTTGGGTGTATCGAGTTTGACGTATCGTGCCAAGGGTTGTGCTGTGCTGCGCCGTATTGAACTGCGATGTGCTGTGCCGCGATTGTGTTCTATAGCGTTGTGGATCGAGTCCTCCTTTGCATCCGAGTCCTGACCGAATTGATCTGGATCTTAAGCTCGAGCTCTCTGAGCACATGGTAGCTGCCCCAGGGCTACTTGACAGGGGGGCACGCCAGGGGGACGCGCCGAGGAACGTCCCAAGGGACGCGCAAGGGGTCATGCCAGTGGACGTGCCATGGGGACGCACCGCGGGACGTGCCAAGGGGACGCGCTACGGAACGTGCCAATGGACGTGCCACGGGACGCGCCAGGGGACGCGCCGCGCGACGTGCCATGCGGACTCGCCACGGGACGCGCCACAGAACGTGCCAGGTTGCCATGTTGAATGTATCGATCTTGATGTATCGGGATGTATCGTGCCAAGGGCTGTGCTGTGTTGCGCCGTGCAGAGTTGCGATGTGTCATGCCGCGATTGTGCTCTATAGCGTTGTAGGTCGAGTCCTCCTGTGCATCCGAGTCCTGACCGAACTTATCTGGATCTTAAGCTCGAGCTGTCTCTGCACACAGGAGCTGTCCCAAAGCTAAGTGACAGGGTGATATGCCAGGGGGACGCGCCGTGGAACAACCCAAAGGACGCACCAGTGCCAAGGGGACGCGCTACAGGACATGCCAATGGACGTGCCAATGGACGTGTCGCGTGACGTGCCATGGGGACTCGCCACGGGACGCGCCACGGAGCGTGCCACAGAACGTGCCAGGTTGCCATGTTGAGTGTATCGATCTTGATGTATCGTGCCAAGGGCTGTGCTGTGCTGCGCCGTGCAGAGTTGCGATGTGTCATGCCGCGATTGTGCTCTATAGCGTTGTAGGTCGAGTCCTCCTGTGCATCCGAGTCCTGACCGAACTGATCTGGATCCTAAGCTCGTGCTGTCTCTGCACATAGGAGCTGCCCCAAAGCTAAGTATCAAGGGGACACGGGGGATATGCCAGGGGGACGCGCCGTGGAACGACCCGAAGGACGCGCCCGTGTCAAGGGGACGCGCTACGGGACATGCCACGGGACGTGCCAATGGACGTGTCGCGTGACGTGCCATGGGGACTCGCCACGGGACGCGCCACGGAACGTGCCACAGAACGTGCCAGGTTGCCATGTTGAGGGTATCGATCTTGATGTATCGTGCCAAGGGCTGTGCTGTGCTGCGCCGTGCAGAGTTGCGATGTGCCATGCCGCAATTGTGCTCTATAGAGTTGTGGACCGAGTCCTCCTTTGCATCCGAGTCCTGACCGAACTGATCCGGATTTTTTCGCTCGGGCTGCCCGAGCACATAGGAGCTGCCCCAAACCTAATTGAGAGGGGACATGCCAGGAGGACGCGCCGCAGAACGTCCCGAGGGACGCGCCAGGCGACGTGCCAGGGGATGTGCCATAGGGGACGCACCGCGGGACGTGTCAAGGGGACGCGCTACGGAACGTGTTGGGGACAAGCGTTTCGCTCGAGGCATCCTGCCCACATCCTCATGCTAGACATCCGCGTGGGCGAGCTGGACACGTGAAAACAAGCGTTTCGCGTAACGCATCCGCAACACATCCTCATGATTCATTGGCTTACGCCGCACCACCGACCCCTTGCGGCGGCAGCCAGAGTGAAAGACTGAATTCGCGGAGCGCGCGCGATCGCTGGCCAATCTTGGGGTTTCGGCCTGTCCTACGTAGCGAGTCGAGTTCAAGTATAGGCCTTGTAGGGGTTTGTTTTGAAGTTCTTCGTGGTCTTCTGTGCGTTTCTTGGGGCCTTCACGGGGCCTCCTTTTCCACCCCCAGGATAGGTTCGGGGATCGGTGAGACCCAGCTGGGGGTGCGTCGGGCCAGAAGCTCGAGAGTGGACCCAGCTGTGTCGACGAGGAGCTTCCTAAGGCCCAGAGGGGGCGGAGCGCCCAAGAACTAGGAGTCTCATGCCTCGAGCCTCGATCCATCCCATGTTCCTTCCTTTGCGAAGGGGTGGCACCGGCCAGGAGGTCGATCCTCATCCCGGAACCTCGGCGGTGGTCCCGGGCACCCGAAAATGGTCCCTGGAGGCTGAATTCGTGGAGGTGTCTCGGGTGGTCGAAAGACCACGAAAATCTGCGAGACATCGGCGGCGACGACGAAATCATCTTATTTGTTGTCCTCGTCCTCCTCCTCTTCCTCGTCCTTCTCCCTTCTTTCCAGGGTTTTTTGTTTGAACAGCTTTTGTTTTTGATCGGTTTCGGTCTCGGGGGGCCGTTGCTGGGCCCCGGGACTTTCAAAGCCGGACGGACCAGGGGCGAGAATTTGCATCGGCGGACCCGGGGAGAGGTTCGGGGAACGAACTTATGCGGAGTAGCCCGTCGAACTTGGGAGGTTTGCTGTGGTTCGGGAGGGGTTCTGGGCCCCTCCCCCGTCGCCGCGGCTGGATGCATGTGGGAACACGGTTGCGACTGGATTCCGGGAATGGTCCGGGGGGCCCATGGCGAACCATTTCTGCGTGGGGAAAGAGAAGGCTTCTGTTGCAGAGTCTTGATCTTTTTAGTTTGTTTCGTGGCTTTCGTCGTCGAAGGGCCGCCTCTGGGCCCCGGGGTCATTCGGGGGCATTGTGGATCCCCGTCAGGGCCTCTTGGGTGCATTTAGGGGCCCTTTCATGTTCTCTCGGGGCGATGTGCTCGAATTCTCCATTCGGGTTTCCCCTCTTACCCTCTTGGGGCCGTCCTGGGACTCTCCCCTGTGGCTTCGGGGGCCCAGCTGGGGCCCGTTCGTGCCGTCTGGGACCCTTCTTGGAGTCATGCGGGTGTTTTTGGGCTGATTTGTTTTTGTTTTGGCTGCTGCGGGTCTCGTGAAAGCTCAAGAAGCGAATGTGTCAAACTTTGACGTTTCCCTTCGGGAAGGGGCTGAGGTTTGGTTTTGTCGGGCCTCTTGGGACGTGCCCTGGTGGCGTGTTGGGGCGTCTAGGGGGCCTCAGGGGTCAGTTGGAGGCAATTGCGGGCGTCTAGGAGCGATTTCCTCACGAGTCGGAGCTTGCACTCTGGAGCCGTCGGGGGAGCCTTGTGGGACCCATTTGGGGGCTTTGAGGGGTCCGCCCTGGGGTGGTTTGGTGGCTTCTGGGGCCTCTTGGCGCCAATTTGGGCTGTCTTGGAGCCCTTTTGACAGCCTTTTGGGGTCGTGTTGGGTCGATCTGGAAGGCTTCGTGGGCTGTTGTGGGCCTCGTGAAACCCGAAGAGGCGAACGCGCTGGAAATGTATGTTGTCCATGGGAAATAGCACGCTTTCTGCTTTTGGAAAGCCTCTTGGGACGTCTCCGAGCGGTTTCTTGGGCCGTCTTGGGGGCCTGTGGGACCGCCAGGAGGCATTCGACTCGTAGTTCTCGTGGGCCGTCCAGGAGGTTTTGGGGGACCCTCTTGGCCAATTGCGAGGCCTTCTTGAAACCGTCCTGCGGCTGTGAATGAAAGCCCGAAAGCAAAAATGGACCTCGGCGGCGGCGACGTCGACGGCGTCCTCTTTCTCGCCCCTCCTGCTGCGCCCTCCTTTTCGTTCTTCCAGCTGCCCCTGCCTTTCTCCCCGGGGTGTGTCCTATCTTGGAGAACTGTCCGCTCTGGGCGTGGCAAGGCCGTGGGCCTGGTGCCTCGTCGCGTTCCGTGGGCATGTTGGCAGCAGGACTGTCGCTGCTTACTCTGACTGCTGCCCCACGGGTTTTGCGTGAGGGCAAGAGAAGAATTTTGTCACTGGGTCTTCGTCTTGTCATGTTTCTCATGGTTTTCGTCGTCGAAATGTAGCCTCGGGGTCCCGGGATCTCTCGGGTGCATCGTGAAACCCCGTAGGGGTCTCTTTGGTGCCGAGTGGCGCTCTCTCGGGGTTTCGGTCCTGGGGCCTTCCTTGGTGGATTCGGGGGCCCTCTTGGAGCCTTTTTGGGCCGTCTGGGAGCCTTCTTGGAGGCATATGGGGTTTCCTTGGGTTGGTTCGGGGGGCTTTTTGAGGCTGCTGTGAGCCGCGTGACAGGCCAAGAAGTGAAAGTGCTAAACTTGGGCGCTCCCTTTTGGGAACGGGCCGAGGTTTGCTTCTGGGAGCCTCTTGGGACGCGTCCTGGTGGCGCGTCGGGGCGCGCTAGGGGCTTCCGGGGCCATCCGGAGGCAGTGTCGGACGTCTTGGAGCG